GCCAGGCTAAGGATTAATGCTGGCTTAATTAATATTTGTATGCTATTCTGTGAGTGTAGATCTCAAGCTTGCTTAGTCTCCGTAGACTTACCCTCTTATTTTAAGTATTTCAGGGAACAAAATGCCATAATACGTATCTAAACTGCTGTCAACTAAAGGCCTGTTTGGGCCTCAAGACATCAAACTCAGGATGAAATAATTTGAGCATCTGAACAGTCTGAACAGGATTTGTGAGAACTTTTTTCTTCTTAGAAGTGCCTGAGACCACCTTTTCTTCCAGCATGAAATATTTCAGCTGGAAGGACCTGTTTTTACTAAAGCATAGTTTCTATGTCTGAGAACTACTATAATTTTTTTTCTAGTGTTAGAGTATCTATGTAAAATTAATTGAAATTACATATGTTAAAAAATAATAAAAAAAAAACTTTAAAGACATTTGAGAAACTGATGTTTTTAAAATATAAGTAAGCTTGAAATATTACTCAGATCATATAGATAGCCTTTTTAAAATTACATTCTGAATACAGCTTGCTTCCTCAGTTTTGCTATGGAAAGATGAATAGTGTTGTTAACACCTATTCATGCCTTGTAGCATGGCATTTGAAACTGGCAGCACTCAGCTCTCTAAAAAGCCAGGGTGTATTTGGCTTTTTGAATAAAACACTTTGGTAAAACTTTAAAAGTTTGGATCATCTACTAACTGTGATCCACATAAATTCTCACAGTAAAGGGATAATAAGATAATAAGAAATATTCTTATTGTAGTGTAATTACATTCTCTTTAATTAAGGTGTGACTTTCCTTGGTGCTGTCTTAGATTATTATCACTATTCCTTTTTCATACAGGCATAAATACATGCTTAAACACTTAAACTTGGAAATCTGATTTTACTGTCATTGGTAGTACAGTTAATGTACAGGAGGACAGGACAACCAGAACCAAAGGCTCTTTTAGAACTGCCTGCAGAATCAAACATAACTCTGCATTATCAGTCCAGTTCCTTTGACCTCACTATGATCATTCCCTCTTATCATGTGATTTCTTTTCCTGTAATTTAAATATCCAGGAATCCTGTTTCCAAAAGTCAGCTTTAACCACTGGGCACAGAGCATTCTTTTGTGGTGGCAGCCTTGACAGCATACAAAAAATATCTGAGAAAAGGGCACTGAGTTTTCATTTTTCACTACACTCAGCTGTTGGAAATAGCCTAATACCAACCAGAAACAGTGGTGCACACTAAAAGTAGTTTCTTTTAATTATAAAACATAATTTTATTCATTAATTCTATTCTGTTCCTTTCTATATCAACAACTTAAAAGGCAACAGCTGTTGGTATACAAGCTGTTGTACAAAGTATACTAGATCATTTGTAGAATCAGTTCTTGCTCTGAAAAACATAAGCTTCTTCACTTCCACCCTTAACAGAGTTTTATTCTGGTTGCCGAATCTCTCCTACCCTCACTAATTTCCATATGTTATCCCACTTTATCTCAAAGCTATTAACAGACATTTTCTGACAACCTCTTGAAACTCCTTGCAATTTTGACTTTAAAGGCGCTTGACACTGTCTCTGTTTAATATCCTCACAGAGAAGATAACAATGTATGGGTTATATAAGTGGACAATGAGGTGGATTGAAAACAAGAATGGCCAAGCTGAGAGAGTGGTTTGAAGCCCAGCTGGAGGCGAGACACTGGCAGTGTAACCCAGGGATCAGTACTGGGGCCAGTACTTTCTAATGCTCTCATTAATGACTTGTGTGAAGGGACAAGAGCGCATCCTCAGCAAGTTCACAAATAACACAAAACTGGATAGAGCAGCTAACACACCACATAAGCACACTGCTTTCCAGAGAAACCTTGACAGGAAGGAGAAATGAGAAAAACCTCACGTAACAAAGGGAAGTGCAAATTCCTGCACCCGGGCTTTAAAAATTCCAGGCTCCAGTGTATGCTAGGGGCTGGTGGATTTGAAAGCAGCTCTGCAGAGGAAGACTTGGGTGTTCAGCCCAGAGAAGAAGAGGCTCAGGTGGATCCTGTCCATGTGTATAAATACTGAATAGGAGTAAAAAAAAAGAGGGAACCAGACTCTGGTAGTGCCCAGAGTCAGGGTAAGAGGCAATGGTCACACATTAAAACATAAAATTCCAGGCAGAAACAAACCCTTTTTTTCTTTCTATGTGAGTGTGAGTGATCAAACCATGGACAAGGTTGCCAAGAGATGGTCTAAAGATTGAATCCTTTGACATATTCAAAAACACCTGGATGCAGCCCTAAGCAACCTGCCCTAGCTGACCCTGCTTGAGCAGGCATTGAACTAGATGATGCCCAGAGTTTCCTTCCTTCCTCAACTATTCTGTGAATTCTAAAACAGAGATATTGCAAACATTTTTGCAACCATATTTTCTTGCAAAAGCCACATGGAAACAGGACTGAAAAGAATAAATTAAATCTCCAGGTTGTTATCATCTCAATGTCAAAATGCTGTTTTCTTGAACTCACCAGTCCTAAGGAAAGACTTTCACTCTCACGCCTCATAATTGAAGGCTGGGTGACTGTAAAAACCTTACCGTAAATTATTTTAGCCTAGTTCACACCCACATGTTCTTATCCCCACATTTTTTTTCAGTCTAACTAAATTTTCTCCTCCCATAGGTTTATAGAGATGCAGGTTTATTTATCTTTTATGGACTCTCATAAGATGCTGTCCATTCCTGTAATCAACCTCAGAGCCTTTCCTGCATGTGCTCCAGTATTAATTCATCCTTTATGAACACAGAACAGTAGAATACTACACATTATTCCTCCAAAATTATACTAATACCTTCCTCTCTGGTCTATCATAAACAATTTCCCCACTCTTTGCGCATAACTGCACATATCATTTATTAATCTCGCCAAAATAAATTGGAGAAATTAATACAACAGAAGACTCAGGTGCTTACTTGCACCGTGCTTACATTCCACTCTAGTGGGACTAACAGATGGGAGGCCCATTTATGCATCCTCATCACAATCATAGGACTAGGTCACGCTCGCTGCAGCCATTTCATTAAGATCTTACTTCCAGGCATTAATAAATTTAAGTCTGTTTATTACAGTTGTATTTTCACCCAGGCGCATTGTCTGAGGCAGCAGACTGCTTTTCTCAGGAAATCTTCAGCAGCATCTGTAAGAAGACCTGAGAAGCAAAATTATCTCAGCCCTGAGAGGATCTAATCCAAGTCAGGCCAGCACATACCAAACTACCAGAGAGTAAGTTTCACTTCATTTAAACAAAGAGGAAACCTGCATTCCAAATCATGCCTATGAAAAAATATTTTAAACTTGTTCCCCGTGTCTCATTCTCCCAAAAAACACAAAACAGTCAGGTGTGGGTTAAACTTTACAAGAGTAGCAGAATATAGGCTCATCAGTCACTTATGAAAATGGGACTTCAGGACTTTGAAATTTACATTCACGTAAGTTTCTAAATTAGAGAAGACACTGAAGCAGAGCTTCAGCAGTAGAGCTGGCCATTTGATGGCCCAAAAATAGCCATTAGCAAAGCAAATATAACTCCAAAGAGATGTAATCTATCTAGAAGGACTTTGGAAGGTAAAAGGTGATGGAAAGAGAGGGAAATCTAATGTAGAGACCACTTATAACTTATGATGTAAAAGAAATATGATCCCATGGCATCTCAAACCTTGGGTTATATTTGTTCATGAGATACAAGCTCCTAACCTTCTATATAGAGTTAGGACAGTGTTGTAATACTACGTTATTTTGAACACACTCCCTAAAATTTTGAAGGAAAGTGAGGTAAGAGAGTTATAACGCAAAGTGTGAGAAATTACTCTTTTATATTGACCAATCCACTGGTACTTTTGTGCTCTTTAGTCCTCTTTGCAGTTATATTGTTTTTAATAAGACTTTGTTTCTGTCCTGATATTTTTCATGTCACTACAGTTCTTAATATGTGAAAGCCTTTTTTCAAATCCCATTTCAACTATCACTTCTCCTATCTTCCATTTCTTGGAGAAAATATATGATGTGAAAAGTGGTGGAAGGTGATATTTTTTCTTTGAACGTAATAAAGTCTACAGAAGTAAAATGGGCTGAAAAAAATAATTCAAATTTTCTGTCTTTTGTAACCACGATTCTATGTTCTACTTAGAGTAATTGTGTATGTTCACAGAAAGGAAGCAAATGGCAATCCAATATTAGGTGAACCTACCGTAACTAAAATTAGAGAGTAAATATCAGTTCACTGAGAACTTACGCCCAATTCATTAGCAAACGTTATCCTCAGTATCTCGATATATATGTGCTGTATTTTCTTCTAATTCTCAGCAGAACAGATTTGCCTCCTTTCTCATTATGATTCTGTGATTGTACTCCATCTGAATACAGTTACTCTAAAGAAAGAGATGCTTACCCTTTGGTTGAGGTTATATTTTTAGAGTGTCAGTTATAAAGATATACTAAAGCTGTAGCTCCCTTTTACTGGATAATAAACATAGCCCAACAGCTGAAAAGATATATTTACAATCTTCCCCCAGAATCCTCCCAACCCCTTACTGCTAAGAAAAACAAGTGGGCCACTGCAGCATGTCCCAGAACTATTTTAGTATTGGGGAAAGTGCAAGTTCCAAAGCAGTGTGGAAAAATGCCCTGCCAGCTGCTCCCCTCTCATTCCAATGCAGGCTTAGGAGTCTTCCCTGGTCAACTGCTAGATAAAAGCACTTTCAGATAACTTGCTTCTACATCATCAGTGCCACATCCACAGAGATTTTTAGGTGTCTAAAGGCTTAAAGGTTCAAATGAATTGCTGGAAGCTAATCAAGTATCATACCTCAGCTGACCTAGAGCAATTGGTTGTGTAAGTCAACAAAAAAGTACAATGCAGCTCCCAGCAGCTCAGCTCCCTTCTCCAGGGGAACACACTAACTCACGTGACTTAGTCTGCCACAGACTGAGAGAGCACGGAGGCCTAAAGAGACAAAGAAACATGTTACCTCACATCAGCCGGCTCTGCTCTAACATTTGTAATTACAAATACAAATCTGCCTTCAAAGCTCCCAGAAGCCATTGATGCTTTAGCTCTCCGCAGCGATGTTATCCATGTGCCCGGCGCTCTGCCTCAGTGCTCACCGAGGGCTCGGTTTAGCTGAGCCCTTCCAGGAGCCGCCTTGGGCCTGCTGACCACACGCCATGGCCGAGGCCTGCGCCGCCTTGAGTGCTGCATACCAAGGGAGGAACAAAGCGACTGCTCAGCCGAGGGGACTCAAACACAGATTCTTACACTGTTCATGGAAGTATGAGTGTATTGGCCTTTTTAAAAGGGATTTATAATGTAGCTCTAAAGAAAAGTTTAAAAATGTGAACATCCAATGAGTCAAAACTTAGAGAAGCAAGCAAAAGTCATGCACACGTGAATTTTTTCTAGACCACATGAGCTCCTGGATTCATGCAATATATGTTGGTATAATTCTCATTTTATTGTACACATATAAGATCAAGTATAAAAGCATGTTCTATGTATAAAACACAAACAACTCGAGATTGCAAAAGCAGATGCTGGAAACTCAGGAATTTGCAAGAGAACGACCCAACAATTAAGATAACACCCAGAAGAGATGGGTCCACCCAAGCAAGATGAGCCTACTAACGACCCAACAATTAACAGCTGATACTGATCTAGTCAAAATCCTCAGGACCATACATCTCAATGTACAATTCCCAGAAAACTACTCAAACTCTCTCCCCTTCTCAGAAAACCCATCAACAGACCAGCAGCAGAAATATGAATATGGAACAACACAAGAAAGAGAAAGAAACTGAAGCTGCATAACCCCAGGCTGAACAAACGGTATAAAACTCAGCTTTCTGAAAGACAGTTTGTGAACTTGGGAGAACCAGTGCAACATAGGCGGGTTCAGAGTTCACCCAGCGACAACTCTGAGCTCTACGCTGACTTTGATTGTGGCTGTTCCAAAATTCGATTTTACAAATTTTTCAATAAAATCCTTATTGATAAAATTTGACTGATTTCATTCATAACAATTCATATATATGGCATTAATGACAGTAATAAGTGCCATAATGACAAGAATAGAATAAAGCACGCTGAAAGTGATTCAGTCTGGAGAAGAAAAAGGCAAAGTAGTTGGATGGTCTATGTGAAATGCACATAAGCGCAGCTTCTGCATCAAGCTGGGCCCAAAAGCCAGATAGACATGGTCTGGCTGCTAATGTTGCCATCACATTAGTCTTTCCCTGTCAAGAAGGCAGTTGTTATTTCAAACAAGTCGTCATAATATATAGCATCACCTCTTTCATTTTGGCTCTTCTCTTTCTTCAAATCAAAGCTTTTCATTAGTATTAGAATCTCCTCCTTCTTCATGTTATAAATGAAATGCAGCCAAAATTTATTAATAATAATTTTATTAATAAAATTTGCAAAATCAAATTTTGGAAGCAACCACAATCACTGTCAGCGTCAAGCCTGGGGTCAGCACTGTGTGAACTCTGAATCAGCCTCTGTTGCACTGATTCCCCCAAGCTCACCCCTGGTCTTTTGGAGGAGTGAGTTTTTACAGTTTCTACAGCCTGAGGCTGTAGAGTTCTTTCTCCCAGGGTTTGTTGCATATTCATATTTACTGTTGGTTTGTTAACTAGATTTCCGAGAAGGGAGGAAAGGTTTGAGTGGCTTTACTGGAACTGAGTTTTGAAATGTATGATTTGGAGATATTTTCTCTTTGGTTTGTTAATGAAGTTCTAGGGGAGGGGGAAAGTTACAGAAACTGAGTATTGAAATGCATGGTCTGGAGAATCAGATCAGTTCGGTATCAGGTGAAAATCACTGAGTCGTTAGTACACTGATTTTGCTTAGGTAGGCTTTGTTCTCCTTGGTGCCATTCTGTTTTTTTGCAAATTACCCTTCTCCTTTGGCTCCTGGCTGTCCTGTTGCAACTCCTTGCTGTGCATGTGTGTTTGACACTTGTAACCAGTTTTTATTTCTTCTCACTGCTTATATACATATACAATAAAACATTAATTATACAACTATATATTACACTTCAGAATGAGTTCCAGGCTGCTGTTAAGTTGCAGCCAAAGGTAGAACTGAAGCTGACTTACACCAAAACTCTATAGCAGTAACTATAAATAACAATAAAATAAAAAACAATAAAAATAAAGAAACACTGCAAAGGCTTCAGCTACCACACAGTTCCACGATACTGTACAGATTTGTCCAGAATTATGCCCAGCTGAAGCCAAATCCAAACCAAACACTTATATTTTCACTGCTGTTGTCTAGGTTAGCTAGATCAATGTGAGCATTACTATCCCACCTGTAATAGCAATGTAGATACAGGGAGTTACCATCTGAACTCATATAGACAACACAACTGGTAATTTGACTTCAGAACTATTTGAGACACTGAATTTTTCTGAGTAGGTTATGTTTTATTAGAAGCTATGGACCACAACTGAAAAAATATTGCAAAGCAGTAAGGTGACATGAAAAAGCTGAGAAGCATCCCAAGAATTACATCTATCTCAGTGCAAACTGTGCTAAACTTCCAAAACATCCTGAAGTCTACTATTTCAGAATGAAGCTGGACATTCACAATACTGTAATATATGTTGGTATAATTCCCGTTTTATTGTACACATATAAGATCAAGTATAAAAGCATGTTCTATGTATAAAACACAAACAACTCGAGATTGCAAAAGCAGATGCTGGAAACCCAGGAATTTGCAAGAGAACGACCCAACAATTAAGATAACACCCAGAAGAGATGGGTCCACCCAAGCAAGAGGAGCCTACTAACGACCCAACAATTAACAGCTGATACTGATCTGGTCAAAATCCTCAGGACCATACATCTCAATGTCCAATTCCCAGAAAACTACTCAAACTCTCTCCCCTTCTCAGAAAACCCATCAACAGACCAGCAGCAGAAATATGAATATGGAACAACACAAGAAAGAGAAAGAAACTGAAGCTGCATAACCCCAGGCTGAACAAACTGTATAAAACTCAGCTTTCTGAAAGACAGTTTGTGAACTTGGGGGAATCAGTGCGACATAGGCGGGTTCAGAGTTCACCCAGCGTCGACTCTGAGCTCTACGCTGACTTTGATTGTGGCTGTTCCAAAATTCGATTTTACAAGTTTTTCAATAAAATCCTTATTGATAAAATTTGACTGATTTCATTTATAAGAATATCACATTTCAATTGCCTAACTTAATGTTTTTATGAGTTCAGATTATACTAAAATTTAAAGGGAGAAAGTTAAGCTGTGAGAAACTCCTATTAGTCTGCCAAGACTAATAATTTTCCCTTTATACTCTTTTCAAAAGCAACATAGTACATTATAGCAACATGAAACTCTAGTCCACAGTATAGGTATATATTAAAGGTCAGCTATATTTCACAGCCTTGCAGTCCCACTGAGAAACTGTTTTGAAAAAAATACTCTTGTGATCCAAGCATCCAGGAAAGAAACAAGACTAACAAAATGCTAAAATTTAAAAATGCCTCAGAGTTTCTGGGATTTTTATCCTCTACTCAGTTTAAACTCTAATGCTTTTAAAAGCAGTAATCAAGAAGCCATGTTGCAAATAGAGAGGGATGAAACTACAAATTAGCACATCCACCTGCCAATCCATTAACCCTGAGCACCACTGGAAATGTTATTGCCTCTATCTTGCCTTTCATACGTTCCCTTCTGGTATAATACAAAATTGTTTTATATATATTCAGATTCTTCTTGAGGGTTTTGGTTTTTGTCTGACAGTAAGTAAATTCTATCTTATTTCCAGCTGAGGATTGAAAGCTGGGAGCTTCTGGTACAACTTCCATCTACAGAACCTCTTGTGTGGGCAGCTCCACAAGAAACTTTTCAAGGCAGACTGCAGCTCAGAAGATACTGATGGCTGTGTTTCCATAATGTAGTGACAGTAGATATAAACACTGAGCATGTTTTACATTTCATTTCAGAGCGTATGAAGTGAAGGCATCCAGAAGACGGGATAGAAATTCCAGAGAGGAAAATCCAGAGTCATTGCTGTTACCTCACCTTTACAACAATGGTAGCTATGAAACATGCTACCACACAAATCCAGGATTTAAACCCTGCCCCCCTCCCCTTTTTTTTTAATAGGTTAGAGTGGGACATTTAGATTAATTAGATTTAATTGAACACAAACATAAAATAAACCAATAAACAGTTGTCTTCTAAAATACAATTGCAAAATGCATGCTGTTGGTTGCAGAAAGGACTATCTTTTTAAGTTAAAAAGTGAGAAACAATAAGCATGGTGCACTGACACATCTGTGGCTGATACAGAATTAAAAGGAAAAAAAGATAGATGAAAACACAGAAACTAAGGAGTCTCTGCTGTGGGTTACTGTCAATGGAAAGCTCAACTTGACTGTCACAAAGAAGAAGCTGTCAGTAAACTCATTACTGCTCATGGCCAGAGGGCTGACTAGCACTGTTCAAACAATGGGTGGAACCAACATGAAAAAGGAAGTGGAACCCAAAACGTGCTGTTTGATCCCATCCCATTTGTGGTTCCTCCCAGTAACATTGTTCTGCAGCCTAGCCAGAAACCATATCCACATATGCAAGTGCCTTTAATCACCCAATTCCTATTGATTTTGATGGGAATTGGGCTCTAAATGCCTTTGTCAATCTTAGCTTTACTGATGTTGCCCTCCAACAGCAGTGAGAAGCTTTTGTACTACCCTGTTGCTGCCTCAATATCTTTCCAGGAGAAAGGAGGAAAAATACATGCATGTCTTAGGCATGATTCATGTCTGTTTTGCAAGGAGATAACCACAGAGCCAGCAGAAAAAGATACATCAGGAAGCATATCATTATGTATGGCTTTTAATAGTGACAGCAGTGGCTGGCTACCAAAATATTATCATAACTCTTTCAGAAACTCTGACAGCATAGTCAAATATTAAGGAAATTCTTAGTCACCTCTTACTTTCACACATCTTTTAAAAATAGATTTAAGACTATGCAATTGTGTTTTATTTGTAACCATGTATACATATGTATGTATACATGTATATAGATGTAAAATGTTATTTGGGCAGTTATCCTGGCTGCCAAGCAGTTTCATTGCACCAGTTTATAATACCACAATGAAATGTGTATTTAAGGGGTGACTCTCTTTAGAGTTATGTTTAGTTAGTGTTCTACCCCCGTTATGAGAGATGACTGAAGAAAAAAAGAAAAATAGCATATGACAGCTATTGCCAAGGTAAACATATCTTGTTCTGTAAATCTGCATTCTCCTCAGTTACTTTAAGAGTAAAAACAGCTTCTAAAAAATCAATTCCATTTACTGTCTCCTGGGTTTTGATTTTTTTGTTTGGGTTTTTTTTGGTTTTTTTTTTTCTGGCAATGGGACATCGTTGTTGGAATTACAAAGATCTGACATTCATTAAAAAAAAAAAAACAAACAAAAAAGCACTTGTGCTGGAAATCATGAATGTCAAAGAAAATTGAGAATGCTAGCACATGCTGAGTCTTGTTCTCCAACATATTAACAGAAACACATTCTAAAAACAGGGTTTATCCTAAGAAACTCTGATCAGGGGTAGAAATTCCTCTTGTTATGGAAAGAGATAAATGTGCAAAGCGATAGCCCTTATTTATATTACTTTTAATGCCTAAAGTCTTAAATGGTTCATGGGCACACCACCACAGACATCATTTATTTTTGCATGCCAGAGTGTCATCACAGACTGGCAGCAGTAACAGATGACTGACAGTTTTTCTCCTTTTGCATAAATGAGACATTGCTATTGGTCAGACTACTGGTGAGATTATTATCCCAAGGGGAAAATAAAAATCAGGAAAAAAAGGTTTCTTTCTAGAACAAGGACATGAAAATGTCCGACTTAAAATGTCGTCTAGTCAACTGCTCTACTCCATGGCAGGACTGTTAGG